AAGAAGAGACTGGACTGCCATTTGTCAAAAATGGTGCAGGGTCTCCTGCTTGGGCAGGGAGGGGGGGTTGGACTAGATGACCTATAAGGTCCCTTCCAACTCTGTTCATCTCTGTTAATCTCTGTTGTAGTCCAAACTCCTGGAGGGTTCCTAAATCTGGCTGCATTCCAACTCCCAAACAAGGCTTGACAAAGTCAAAGAAAGCTATATGAATATGGCTAAAACCCAAGATTAAATCCCAGTTGGCAGAATTTGGAAAAGAAAACCTTGGTTGATTCACCCAGAATCTGGCTAGGATTAAAGGCTTGCTCTTTAAAACACAACAGGTGAAGAGAGACAGATCGCCTCTTGGTCATCTTTGAGCCAGAAACCTTCAATTAAACCCGATTTAATGTTATTAAAATCATATGCTGGAGTGGAAAGAAGAAAGAAGAACGTCAAATCAAAGGTATGCCCTCGATTAATTCTTCAAGGGCCCGCCCTGCTGGCTTCCTGGACTTGGCTTTTAATCATCCCTGCTACCCTGTTTCCCCAAAAATAAGCCCTACCCTGAAAGTAAAGTCCTAGCTTGATTTTTTTTAACACCTGCACCTAATATAAGCCCTATCCTAAAATAAGCCCTAATTAAGATCCTGCTGACTCCAGAGTGCACAGATAAACATTAAACTAATGTGGGAATTTGGGAGTGGGTAGGTGGAGCTGCACCTTTGGTCAGTTGTAGCCAGGCCTCGCACACCCCGACATCAGAAGTGAATTCAGCAGGTTCTGACCAGTTCTGGAGAACTGGTAGCAGGAATTTTGAGGAGTTCAGAGAACTGGCAAATTTATTTATTTATTTATTATTTGTCGATTGCTTACAAGATAATAGATATAAGTAAAAACATAGTTATGAATATATGGATACCTATAAGAAAAATAAAAGAAACAATAGAACAGGGACGGTAGGCACATTGGTGCGCTTATGCACACCCCCTAGAGATCTCTTAGGAAAGGGGTGAGGTCCATAGTAGACAGTCTAAGGTTAAAGTTTTTGGGGTTTGGGGAAGAAACCACAGAGTCAGGTAGAGGATTCCAGACATTGACCCCTCTGTTGCTGAAGTTGTATTTCCTGCAATCAAGTTTGGTGCGGTTTACCTGGAGTTTGTATCTATTGTTTGTTCCTGTATTGTTGTGGTTGAAGCTGAAATATTCATTGACAAGTAGGACATTGCAACGTATGATTTTATATACTATACTTAGATTGGACCGAAGGCGGCGTAGTTGTAGGTTTTCTAGGTCTAGAATTTCAAGTCTGGTGGCATAAGGTATTTTACAACGAGTAGAGGAGTGGAGAACTCTTCTTGTGAAATATTTCTGGACTTTCTCAAGTGTGTTAATTTCAGATACGTAATGTGGGTTCCAGACTGATGAGCTGTATTCGAGTATCGGTCTAGCAAATGTTTTGCATGCTCTAGTTAGTAGTGTGATATTTACCAGAGAAAAAGTTACGTAGGATTAGGTTAACAACTCTTAACGCCTTTTTGGCTATGGAGTTACAGTGGGCTCTAGCACTTAGGTCATTAGAGAGGAGTACTGCAAGGTCCTTGACAGAGTTTGGATCATCAACAAGGTCTGCTGCAAAAAAATAAGAAGTAGCCACACCCACCCAGTCACATGGCCATGCCCACCTAGCCACGTCCACAGAACCATATTTGCATCCCACCCCTGCTGATACCTGCCTTGTTGGCCCATTTCTTTGGCAGCCGGCAAGGTTTTCCTGAGGCCTCTGGAGCTGATAACAAAGCTCTGGATCGATCCAGAACTCTGTTATCAGCTGCAGAGGCCTTCAGGAAAGCCTTGCCGGCCATAGAAGAAGCTCCTGGAGGACTCTGACAGCAAAAAAAAAAAAGGGGGGGGGCGATGCATGCAAGTGAGGTTAGTCAGTGGATGACAGCCCCTCCCCCCAAAATAAAACCTGGTGCCTCTTTTTGATGGCTATATATATATGTATGTGTGTGTGTGTGTGTGTGTGTGTGTGTGTGTGTGTATGGATGGATCTTTGGTTATTCAGGTTTTCTCCCGCGTAAGATTGGAAGTATCTAGGCAACATTTCGATGAAGTCTCATTCATCATCTTCAGGCTTGTGTCTTCAGCTCTGTGCTTCTTCACTCTGAGAAGCACAGAGCCGAAGACACAAGCCTGAAGATGATGAATGAGACTTCATGAAAACTTTGCCTAGATACTTCCAATCTTACGCAGGAGAAAACCCGAATAACCAAAGATCCACATACTAATACCCGCGAGAACCTCAGAAAACATATATACATATACATATACATATACATATACATATACATATATCATAGGGTCTTATTTTGGGGGTATTTATTTCCATTTCACAGTTGGGAAAATTGAGAGCCCAACATTGATCAAAGATGCATTTGAACCCAGGACCCAAGTGGGTCTCCAAAAAGCAAAAAGTTGCCCACAGACATTGTCTAGAGAGATACAGGTGATGTCATTAAGTGATGTTAACGTGGTTGTTAAGCGAATCCCCCATTTGCTGCTAAGAAGGTCACCAAAGTGGATCACGTGACACCCCCCTGGGATACTGTGACCATCATAAATATGAGTCGGTGGACAAGCACCTGAATTTTGATATCATGATCCTGGGGATGCTACGACAGTCGTTAAGTGGGAAAGGTGGGCATAAGTCCATTTTATCAAGGCTGTAATGTTGAACAAATGGTCATAAGTTGAGAACTGCCTGCAAAATCTCCAGGTCCTTCTGTAATACAGGTTGTAAGCCCTCGCCTTACAATGGTTCATTTAGTGACTGTTTCAAGTTATGACAATTCTGAAAACAGTGACTTGTGATATGATCGTTTTTTGCACTTATGACCGTTGTAGCATCCCCAGGGTCACGTGATTTACATTTGGATGCTAGGCAACCAACTCACATTTATAACGGTTGCACAGTCCCAGGGCCATGCAATCCCATTTTGCGACCTCCTGACAATCCAAATCAATGGGAAAGCCGGATTTACTTAACAACTGGGTTACTCGTTGAACCATGGCAGTGATTCACTTAACCACTGCAGCAAGGAATGTCGTAAAGTGGGACAAACTCACAAATGTCTCACTTAGCAACCTAAATTTTGGACTGAACCGTGGTCGTATGTTGAGGACTACCTGGAATAAGTTAACAGATGGAATCGGTAACCGATTTCCCCAGCACTGGGTTCCTGATAGCTCCGGGTTCAACCAGTCCTAGGTCCTGAAAAGTAGAGCAATTCGCACTCAGTCCTCAAAAGTCCGAGCCGCAAAACTGAGGATTTTTTTAAAAAAAAATTAAAATAAAATCAGGCCTGTTTATTAGATTTTGCCATGATGCAAATCAAGGATTTGCCCAAGAGGATAAAACCAGGTTTTCCGACTGAGATTTAAACCCTGAAAGTCAGTTTCATGCAGAGAGAGTGGTATTTGACCGGTTTGGACTGGTTCTATAGAACCGGTTGTTATGATTCTGTGGACTTCGGAGAACCGGCAGATCGTGCCCCTGGCTGGCCCTGCCCGGCCCTCCCCTCCTGGCCCAATCAGTCCTTATCATGTATGCACGACATCGCACGCATGTCCAGCATCGCTGACTGCGTTCTCCCCCGCCCAGTTACTCCTTAAAGTATTTTTTTTCCCCTCCTCCGGATGATCGGCTGTTCCGACATTAAATGTTTAGATGATTAAATGTTTAGGCTGCCCGTCTCCCCTCCCAGCTGACCACGTGACTTCACTTAACCACAATGGGTCATTAAAAATCAGGTGGACTCGCTTAACGACCGCCTTGTTGAGCCACGGAAGAAAAGGTGATCGTAAGTTGAAGGATTGCCTGCTGTCTGGAAAAGGGATCAAACGTGGTTGCCCCGTGCGAAGGCGGAGACTTGGAGGATCCGGGAGGTGAGTCACCATTGGTCGGAGCTCACTTCCGTCGTTGAAAACCGTGCACCGAGCAGAGGGTTGGACTAAATGACCTCCAGGGCTCCCTCCCGCCTGGATGATTGCACATTGTAGGAAGGGCTCAACCGTCTTCTAAGCACCTGGGCTCTTCCAGCATTTGTCAGTTAGCTTCACCTGGTGCCGCGGCCCTTCCTGGGTGCCGGTGAGCAGCCACGGGAGGTTCAGAGGTGGGGGGAACGGAGACCGGACCTCCCACACCGAACAGCCTCAGGCCCACCACCACCGCCTGGTCTCGCCCAGCTTCGTCTCTCACCCCGAAGCTCAGCGGCAGGTGAACGGACTGGTTCTCTGGCTTATGGGGACAAATTTCAGGAGCTGAACGGGAGCTAAACTTTGGGGCTGATTTGTTTTTTATTTTATTTTCTTTCTTTCTTTCTTTCTTTCTTTCTTTCTTTCTTTCTTTCTTTCTTTCTTTCTTTCTTTCTTTCTCTCATTCTTCTGTCTTCCTCTTCCCCACTCTTCCACCCTCCCTCTTTTCCTTCCTGTCTTTTTTCCTTCCTTCCTCCCTTCCTCTTTCATTCGTTCATTCTTTATTTTTTTCTTTCTTTCTCTCTCTCTATTTCTTTCTCTTTCTCCTTCCTTCCTTCCATATTTTCTTTCCTCCCTCCCTCCCTCTTTCTTTCATTCTTTCATTTTTCTTTCTTTCTCTCTCTCTATTTATTTATTTCTTCTTCCTTCCTTCTATATTTTCCTTCCTTCCTTCCTTCCTTCCTTCCTTCCTTCCTTCCTTCCTTCCTTCCTTCCTTCTTTTTTAACCTATTTTTCTCTTTCTTTTTTCTTTCTTTCCCCATTCCCTTCTCCTTATTTTGCTTCCTTTTCCTTCCTTTGCTTTCCTTTCTTTCTTCCCTCCCTCCCTCCCTCCCTCCCTTTCTTTTCTCTTTTTCTCTTTATTTTTCCTTCCTTCCTTCCTTCCTTCCTTCCTTCCTTCCTTCCTTCCTTCCTTCCTCCCTTCCTTCCTTCCTTCCTTCCTTTCCCTCTTGCCTTTGTCACCATCAGGGTCACTGGCCAGCATGGCAGCCGTCCCCTCTCCCACCATCTACAAAATCCGAGTGGCCACCGGCAACTATCTCTTTGGTGGCACCATGGACAACATCTCCATCTCCTTGGTGGGCACCCACGGCGAGACCCACAAGTTCCAGCTGGATAAATTTGGCAAAGATTTCTCACCAGGAAAAGTAAGTGCTGGGATGTTGACACAGATGGAAACCAGCTGGGGAGCCTCCAGCTGTTTATTACAGCTCCTGTCATCCTCTGCCCCCTTCCTGAAGGCTGGCAGGAAAATCTTCCGGAGGAAGAGATTAAGATTATCCTTTGCCACCCTAGATGGCAACCGGAAAAACCTGCTTCAGTTCAGGGTTTCTCAACCTTGGGTGTGTGGACTTCAACTCCCAGAATTCCACAGCACAGCCGTGGAATTCTGGGAGTTGAAGTCCAGACATCTTCTAAGGGCCAAAGTTGA